AGATGATGTTCTGTATGAAGTATAAAATTAACATTATAGTGTCTTGGAGGTATTCACAGGGCAATGAGTTAGTAGGGAAATAAATATTAAAATACTACAATTTGCATCAATTTGCAAGAAGACAATATGGTATAATGGAACAGAGAATAGATTATAAAAACTAATGGACCAAAGTTCTGCTATTTACAAGTAGTATAACTTGTATAGATGATTTTTGTACTGCTATTTACAAGTAGTATAACTTGTATAGATGACTTAATATTTAAATGCTTCAGTTTCATATTTTTTTCATCCAGGAACAGAGTATCACCTATGCGGGGCTGTTGTGAGGAATAATGAGAATATAAATGTAAACTTTCAGTGACTTAATAAGAGCACATGAAGATGAGTGTCTTTCTGTTCCCTACTTTAATATACTTTCTGATAATTCCATTCTTGAAACAATTTCCTTATCTTAAATGATGTTGCTGTAATATACCATTCTTTGATAATATTTCCCAGAAAATATCCATCAATTATTTAGTTGTTAAACACATACCAAACTCATGAGAGGAACTGAGAATGAAAAAAAAAATGAACCTTTCATAATTCCTGTTCTATTGAATAATATAATCGGTGCAGGAGACAGACATACCCTGATAAGTTTCCATATTAACTCGATACTTAGAGAAGAATAAAGACCTATGCACTAGTGGAGGACACAAGTAACTCTGGGCTTGAGACATGCTTCAACTTAGTTGATGTCTGGGCAAGATTTCGAAGTAGAAGTAGGATTTCGTAGTGTGGGGAAGAAAAGGAATGGGGTTTCAGATGAAGGAAACCTCATGAGAAAATCCATGAACTCATGGGAGAAGAGGCCACAGACAAGGAGCAGAGGTGGGTGACAGTGGAGAACATAGATGAGCCGAGGAGGTGAAGCTGTAAAAGAGTCCTGGAGCGCTCTCTAACCCAAATCACAGAGCTAGGATTTTATCCTGCAGACAATGGGGAGTCAACAGCCATTTCAAAGAAAGAGACTGACACCCATGCTTTCTTAGGGAAATTAATTCTGTGTTCTGTGAGGAGAAGGATTTGATGTGCCTGGAAATGAAAATAGACTGATAACAAAGATACTAATGAAGAGGTATTCTTAGAGGCCATGAAATCAATGACAAAGCAGTAGGACAAGAAGTGAGTAATGATTAAGACAACTCCATATTGTTCCATGGAGAAAGTGTTGGTGGCACTAAATTTAAAGGGCAGAGTCAAAAAGAGAGAAGATGATTTGAAAGAAGGAAAATGAGTTAAAAACTGAACATTTTTGGAATATCTGGGAGAACTGTAGGTGACAGATCCAGGTGGAGTATCTAGGAGGTATCAAGGATATACTTATGAAAGAGGTTCTGAGCTTAGGATTGAGATTTGAGTAGAAAATATAGATTTGATATAAAAAATGGAAGGATAAATTAGCTGCTGCCTAGGATTATGATTTTGAAAATATTCATGGTCATAGTACAAAATTCGGGGGGTGGGGATGGTGAGTGGGCCTGTATTTGGGAAGTAGGAGGAATAGCTGGAGCAATAGCAGTTGCATTAAGAAAGGTAAGTGAGAAGAGGATTTCTAGAAGAAGAAAGGAGTCAACAGTATCTAAAGCAGCAGGAGGATAGAAGATGAAGCGTGTCTTGAGCTATTTAGACTATACTGATTATGCTGTTTGACTTTGCAAACTTACGTTTTGTTTTGTTTTTATCTCCAAGGTTGTACATTTGTGGATATTCTGTAGAGTACAGCTCCTTCAGCTTTATTATGCCTGGGAATCACCTGGGGATTCTATTAAAATGCAGACTCTGGTTCATAGGTCTGGGATGAGACATGAGATTGAGTATTTCTAACAAGCCCCAGGTGGTGCCTACTTTGTTGGTCTATGGACAACGCTTTGAGTAGTGAGACTCTGGTAGTTAGTAAAAATGGGTGAGTGATCTCAATTCAGGAAGTTTACTCTGAGAAGCTTTCTTTCCTTATAAATAATGAATTTTACAGTTCCACATGGGAATTTGCATGGAAGCTGGATTAGAAAGTTCTGGCAGTTTGGATCCTTCTGTGCATTGAACTCCAGATGAATTTCATTTTTTTTTAATTGGCTCTCTCTAGTCTCTTCTTCTTCCCTTCCATGTTAGAGGAAATACAAAGCATTCCAGTGATATTCCACTTTATCAGATAGATGAGCTGACACTTCATTTAGTAGAACCCACAGTGGGTCTCAAGATATTTATTTCTTTTGTGCTTTTGTTTCTGATATTTTTGCCACTCATTAGTTGGAAAAACTCTCAGTTGACAACGCTGCAGGAAAAAAATATGCAATCTTCAATCCAGATGTCTGAAAAGCCTTAGTTTACTGGTGTCCTGATTTTACTTATCTACCCCACTTGCCTCAGAGCTGTGTCTACATGTCCCTTGTGTCTGTTTTACTCACAAATTCCGGTAGCTGTACTTACTCACCTTTTTTGTTACTAGTCTGTGAATCTGAAACTTGGGAAATGGTATTATAAGCACTGTAGGGAAAACATGCCTTT